TTGTTTGAGGTGACCAAATACTTATTTTCCACCCTAATTTACGAATAAATTCTTTACAAATCCTACCATGTGGATTCATGGATTTTTTTTTCACACTCTGTCTCTCACAGTTGAAGTGTACCTCTGGTGCAAATTACTCTGTCATCATTTTAAGTGGGGGAACTTGCACAATCGGTGGCTGACTAAATACTTTTTTGCCCCACTGTATGCCATGTTCTGACTGAGAGAGATTTGAAAAAATTAAAACGTACAGCTCTGCTATCACTTCCAACATAAATGAAGACAGAAAACTAAGCAGTGACATTTGTAGGGTTACTGAAGTTGGGCTAGATGGTATATAATGATGTCCTACGTGATCGCTAGCGACACAGCTATGTTAGCATAACATTAGCACAGTGAAGCTGGAGGATGAACGCTAAGTTTTTTCCACTCGATAAAAGTAAACGTGAGGGTTTCTGGTGGTTAGGGGCTATAAACGGACCAAACTTCAGTCAGGAGAACAACTGAGATAATCCATCCAAAAAAACGAGGTTAGTCATTAATATACTGCAACAACACGGGAATAGAGCGGCTGCAAGAGAATTCAGCATTAATGAATCAATGGTAGGGAAGTGGAGGAAGCGCAGTTTTTGGCTTTCCTCATATTCCAAAAGTGCTTTGTGTCTTTGCTATGACTGTCGCCCGGCATAATTTGCAGATGATGTTGTTTGCAGCCGCTGCGATGCTTTCGACCAAAACAGGCGCAGCTTGATGACACCATCAACATGCGCTATCGCGGTTAGGGATGGGTATCGAAAACCGGTTCTTGTTGAGAACCGGTTCCCACTGTTTCAATTCCTTGGAATCGTTTGCCACTTTTAAAAACGATTCCCTTATTGATTCCAGTCGCCCCGAATGACGTCATCACGTTGAGTAGCGTCTTTTACCCAGTAGGAAACACGGCGCCTGAGCGGCACAAACGCTCAAAAGTTTGGTTACACTTTATGAGAAAGGATGACAAGAGGGCAACGTGCAATACTTGCAAAGTAGAGATTTCATCAAAGGGAGGAAACACTACGAACATGCAAAAGCATTTGCTCAAAAAACACGCGATTGCTTTCAACGAATGTCGTGTTTTTGATCCGCTCCGGACTAGCGAAGCTCAACCCAGCAGCAGCGGTAGAGTTTCCACGTCCTCTCGCGTTAATACTGCAGGTAACTAATCAATTAGCATTGCATATTATGTTAGCGCGATTTACCTTATTACAAAACCTGCTATTACTGTACGTTGCATTTAGATAACCATGATGAGAGAGACAGAGTCTGGCTCAGATGCTGGCAGTTCTCGCTGCAGTCTACCGGTAGCGTAGACTGCTACGGTAGCGTAGACGAATGTCACCCAGCAGTGACTAAGTTTGTGGTCAAAGGCTTGCACCCATTTGCCACAGCAGATGCCTCCCGATTTCACTTTGGTAAGTGAATGTGTTTAATTGTAGGCAGGACATTACTGGATATTCTTGTGTAATTGCTACAGAATAATTTATGTTAAACTTTGTTATTGCTACAGGAGAATATTTATTTTATTATTTTACATATACTTTTTTTTTTCCTGGGGACCCTGTGACACCCCATTGAAGAGCCGTAGGCTGTGGATCTTTTAAGATCTCACTGTTGGGTTTGTAAGGCCATGTTACTCCTAAATTTCTATCTTGTTCAAAGAGAAGATATAAAACACAGTTCTAAGCTAATCGACTTTAGTGTTCTCCTTTAAAAAAAAAAAAAGAATCGATAAGAGAATCGATAAGGAATCGAATCGTTAAACAGAATCGAAAATGGAATCGGAATCGTTAAAATCTTATCAATACCCATCCCTAATCGCGGTAGAGTGGTATAGTAAAAATCTCTACCATTGGCCAAATTTATATCGTTTCTACTGTATACCGTTTATACCGCCAACCCCTAATTTCCTCTGCAGCAACATCCCTGCTATATTTGTTTATATTCAAGCAAGCACCGTGCTTCAGTCCATTTTTGCCTGTTGTATTAACAACATGACACATGTGCAGTCTGTTTCGGTTACATATCCCCATAAACGGACTCTGTTCTGCATGTTATTTTGGTTCAGCTGGGTTTGAAATTGCAATGTTATTAAGTTAAATGAGATGACAGAATTTTTACAACCCTGTCCATCAACATGACAGACAACCGAGTCCCTCTCTGACCCATCGTATTACTTATGGGAAAAAAGAAAAAAGAAAAAAGGAATAGATGAAGTCCACAAAACATTTCTTGCCTCATTTCTTTCTTTCTCTTCACTTCCAGTGTAGCAGAGCTTTATGATCTCCAACTTTTGAAAGCTGCTGACGCATTATACAGGTTGCCTCAGAGGCAGAAAGCAACAGAATAAAAAATGATTCTCTGTCACGTCTTCACTGGATTCAACCCCTTTCACTGCCTCTCACCTCAGTAAGCTGGGCCTGGAGCTCCGCAATTTTCCTCTCATATATCATTTTTCTGTCAGACACGATGGCCATTAGGTTGAACCGGATCTCTCCCTCACTGTACCTGAAGAAGGAAACAATGACTTGTAATTACAAAGTATCTGGTTAACGCAAGCCGTTCGTGAAATACATGTACAACACACAATGTTTACTTCTGTATTCTTTTCTCAATCACAGGGCGGACTGCGCTGATCCAGTCATCCTGGTTGCATGCACCTGGTGACAAAAAAACAGGAAAAAAATAATAATAATAGCGCATACACTGACACCTGCACTAACCCCAAGCACGCACTCTACATCATCATAAAAAACAGGCAGCTTTATGAGGAATGGAGCACAGCCAAGAAGACAAAAATCAGCTGTGCACAGCAGGGCTGCACACCCAGGGACTTTAAACATTAAACTGTCAGTTTGTACTAAGCTATTAAAACCATAATGAAAAAAATAAAGGACATTTTTCTGCTTACCCAGGTCAATCGGCCCCTCTCGAAGCCCGTCCAGCTCATATAGCCTGCCATTTACAGGAACGTAGCTCACAAAGTGGAATGCGTCCTCGTCCTTCGCCGAAGACTTTGCATCAAATTCAAACATTTGCTGTCTGCAAACGCAAAAAACACAATTACAAAAAACCTCATACACAAATTATCGAGCAAGCGAGGATGCAGGACAGAACAGAAGTGACTCTCACATTTGCCCGTCTTACAAAAAAGGCACACTCGTCCACTGACAAACAAATCGACCAATCTCTTTTATTTTTCATCTTCCCCAGCTGGAAATGACAGGAGCAGAGCCTCACCTGGCAAAGCTGTTGTGAACTTGTCGGATCACTTCTGAGTTGCTGAGAGCCAAACCTTTCATCTGAGGAGAGGAGAAGATGCTGATTTTACGGGTCGTCACAAGACACCACTTAATTCTTTTCTCATCATGTGTTTAAATAGCTTGTTAACAAGTCATTACAGTAAATTATTATATTACTGACTGCTACCAACGTATAGTACATATAATAAACCGACTGATGCTACTGTTCATTAGAACAATGTGTCAACATGATTGCGGAGCCGCCGAGCCTTCCCATGTCTGTCTATAGAGGTCGAGGTCCGTATACAATTAAAAACATAATCCTCAGATCTCGTTGAATTTTGAACTGATCTTTGTTACAAATGCATGAACTTTGACAATGATACAGGCTAATGAGTTAACATCTTTAAAATGGTAAATGGACTGGTTCTTATGTAGCACTTTTATACTCAACTTGAGTGTTTTATACAACATGTCTCGTCTCATTCTACAAGTGTTTCTTTCCCTTGTCTATGTTCTTTCTATCCAACACTAAGACTCCAATAAATGAATCTTGCCCAAGAATACTGCTGTGGTCCATGAATAACTCCTAATCTAGTCTGTGGATTAGCTGGGATTTCTCTGGGATTTGTGGAGTCTGCATCTTCTCAGTGTGGTTGGGTATTCATTTCCCCCCCACAATCCACAGACATGCATGGGTGTGAGCGCTCAGAGTCTAGAGTGCAAACCGATGTATACATGGGTAAAATGTGGCTTGTAGTCTTAAGTGCTTCGAGTAGCTAAGGCTTCCCAACAAAAATATTTGCTTATCCCGGCTCTCATAGTGTGAAAGGCAAGCTAAAAAGCTATCTATGCCCAGGACAGGTCACCAGACTGTCACAAGACTGACAATTATTTACGCTCACATTCCCACTTACTGCCAATTTAGAATCACACATGACCCAAACCCACACATGCCTTTGAACTGTGGGAGGAAACCAGGGCGCCAGGGGAGAACTTGCACAGAAAAAAAGAGCTCCACACCAAAAAGCCCTGGGTGCACAATGGCTGTTCAAACCTAGGACTAGCTTGCTGTGAGGCAACAGTGCTAACCGCTACACTACAATGCTGCTGAAAATGTTTTCTTTTTTCCTCTTTATGCGATAAAAAAAACAAACCCTAAAACAACAACAACAACAACAAAAAAACCAAACTATACTGAGTCAGTATGGTTCTCATGACAATCTGAAGGACAGATGGCTGAGTCATCTCATAAAATGTATAAAATAATAAAATGTCTTGAAATCTATTTTTCGGTTAGATTTTTCCCCTTCCTTTTTTATTTATTTTTTAAATTTGGATTTGAGACAAAAATACCATTGACGTACAGCTGCATCAAAACTCTGTGAAAACTCTCTGAACTCCGTCAGCGTATCGCCGAGCAACATGTCAGGATGAGAGCAGTTGAGCAAAACACTGATGATGGCCTGGGTGGCACAAGCGTTGTTAATGACCTGGAAACACACAGATCAGAGAGGCACAAAATAAATAGACCAATTAAAAACAAACTATGACACGAGACTGGAAGTGGGATCTGCATGTTGATCATAAACATAATGAACATAAACATTTAACAAAAAAATATAACTTTAAACATTTTCTGCAGATCAGGTATCTCAAGATATATA